GAACTAAACGATATGAAATATTTGCAAAAATACATCATACCTCCACATTGTTTTGGGTTCCTTTGCAAGTCCTAATGTTGTGGCCCCAACCTTTGCACCTCTTGCACCTCGCCATAGTAGATTTTTTGATGTATTCCGCTTCATTTGGCTCTTTTCTTCTTCCCTTCTTAGGCCTTCCTGGCAACCTCCTATAAGATGGAGGTAACAACTCTTTTGGTGTTGCATCAAGATCCTCTGGCCATAAATTAGAGTGAGTAATGGCGCGGATATTGTATCTGTAAGTTTTGTTGTAGTTCTTCCTGGAATAAGAATCATGTATGTAGTCCTCAATCTTACCCCTCTTGTAATTGATTGCATGGATTGCATGTTTACAAGGGATCCCAGATAAATCCCAAACTTCACACTCACAGGTCATTGTTGTCAACTTAACAATATAGTGGTTATTTTCGTCCATCACTTCAAACTCATCTGATCCAGCTATACGAAGGCTACACTTCCTAGACTGATCAACATTGGCAACAAAGTCTGAATCAGAATCACTGTCCTCATGAAGGAAATCGAATTCACCTTCACCCTCTGCCCAATTACCATGACCCCCATTATGTACACCATCTGCCTCATTACCCTCCCATGCCAACAACTGTGTAACCTCATCATTACCATGACCCACATACATATGAAAATATGGACAAACACTATTTCTAGTAAACATGTTCATCACATCACTGTCAGTTGAGATATTCATTAACTCACCACCACCTTCAACACCACTTCTAATCCTAATACCATCAAATGCCCCAATCGTAGGAAAAACAGCTACAATATCAGTACACAAATCAATGTAGCTGTATCTGTCAGGATCAATGCTATCAAGTATATGCTCATCATCCAAATAATGCAGCACAATCCGGTAAACATGATCTGCCATTTCCTACCTGAAAAAAAAAATATACTTAGAATTACAGAAAAGCCTAAATTAACAACTAAAAAATAATAACTACAAAAACCCTAAATTAACAACTGAAAATCCTAAGTTTTAAGAACCCTAAATTAACAACTGAAAATTCCTAAATTTAAAAGCCCTAAATCAACAACTGAAAAAGCACTAAATAAAAAATACTAAGTAAAAAACCCTAAATCTAAAATCCCTAAATTAAAAAATGAAAAACCTTAAACTTCAGAACCCTTAATTAAATACTCAAAAATCTTAAATTTATAAATCATAATTTAACAACTGAAAAAACATATCACTCACAAAAGAAAAACAAATTGCACTATTGGAAAAATGGAAACTCTAAGAATAAATACATCCTACGAAAAAAGAACCCAGGCGGAAGAATTAGGGGGGAGAAGAACCATAAACCAAAACAAAGCCGATATCCAAACGAAATAAACAAGAAATAGAATGTATCTTACCGTATAATCTGCCAAACGGACAAGAAGCGTCTTGTTTAGAGCAAATTCAGTTCAAAACTCTAGCTTTTCTGTCGGTTTTGTGAGATTTCGCACAAATTTTTGAAAGGTAAAATTTTGTGAGCTTCTCCTTTAAACCCTAGATGTTTCAATCTTTTTGTGTCTGAGTAAAGTGAGGGGTCAATGTTAGGCAAATAGGCAAATACAGAGCTGTAATATGACACGACATATTAATTCATTCATTGTTCCTTTTTTATTTAATATTTAATATTTAATTATTTTAACAAGAAGGGTACTTTAGACAATTCGTATGTTCTGTTACCATGTTTTGCAGTCTGTTAGTTTTAGGGGGATGCTCGTAATTATGCAAAGAAGGAGGGTTTTTTCGTAATTAGGCAATACTTTAGGGGGGTGCTCGTAATTTGCCCTAATATTTATTATAAATAAAGGAAACATTCATGTATATGTCAATATTACCCCGAACCATTTATACACAATTCTTAATTGTAACCCCAATTTAATCCATTTTGTCCACAAAATTCAATTTTGACCACAAAACTCAATTTTTACTTTTTTTTTTCAAAAACTTTTTTTTTTCAAATTTTTTTTTGCCGCCCGATTCCGGCGTCGACTTTTCAATTTTTTTTTCTATTCTTTTCTTCCGGATTTTTTCGCCGGTTTCCGGCATTGACTTTTTAAGTGTTTTTTTAATGGTTTTTTTTTTTTTTTTTTTTTTTTTTTTTTTTTTTTTTTTTACATTCGCCGCTAAACGTTGACCGTAATTGTGCTGTCACTAACAGTAAATTAACGTAATTATATTGTCAATGACAGTTAATTAACGTAATTGTACTGCCGTTGACAATACATTTATGTAATTGTTCTGTCGTTGACAGTAAATTAACGTAACATTATTATTTTTTATTTTTTGTTATTTTTTTTATTTGTTGACAAGCCAACGTAATTATATTATTGTCGTTGACAGTAAAATAACTGTAAACACATATTACTGTCAACAACATCAATATTATTGTTTTTTTGGGTTTTTTGTTTTATTTGAGTTATATATTCACGGAGTAACGTAATAATATTACTGTCTATTATTGTAATATTACTGTAAACATAATAATATTACTGTGGTTAACGAAAGATACCATTAAAACCTAATAATAAGTTGTGAAAACTACTTCATTCCTCATATTATCTACCGCCGTCAACCATATTCTTCTTTATCCCTGTCTATTTTTTTTCTCTCGTCTTTCTTTCTCAATTCACGATCTCTATTACTGTGCACTAATATTCTATGTAACCTCCTTCAACAAACCGAACATCCAAGACCAAGAGAAGTATACAAATTTTCATTTCTTTTCTTTCTTTCTCACTCACTCTCTCTCTCTCTCTCTCTCTCTCTCTCTCTCTCTCTCTCTCTCTCTCTCTCTCTCTCTCTCTCTCTCTCTCTCTCTCTCTCTCTCTCTCTTTTTTATTATTCATTTTCTTTTTTGCAAAGACCCGGTTTTTTGGGCCAGTTTTCATCGGTTTTATCTGGTTCAACCGTAATTTCCACGGTTCACGAACAACTGACCCGGGTTTTATGGATCTCCGGTTATTGAAGTTCAACCGGACCGAACTGGCCACCGGTTCGCAGTTGAACCGGTTGGACCGGCCGGTTCGGTCCGGTTTTCAAAACATTGAATATTACTGTGGTTGATGGTAATATTATTGTTGTTATAGTAATATTACTGTCACTCACAGTAATATTAATTCTTTTGGCTTTTTATTATGTTTACACTTGTTGAACGGTCTACATAGTAATATTACTCTATTACACAATAATAATGAGTTTTGTTGTGTTAATATTATTGTGCTAGAGATTAATATAGCAATATTAATGTGTTAAATTGTAGTTTTGTTAATTTTACTGTGTTTAACAGTAATATAGTTAATATTACTGTCAAGTAATATAGTTAATATTACTGTCAATCACAGCAATATTGATGTTTGAACGAAAAAAAAAATGTTACAGAAAGAAAGAAAAGAAGACAAGGAAAAAAGAAAATCGAAAAAGTCAACGCACGAAACTGGCGAAAAAATTCGGAAGAAAAAAAATATATTGAAAAGTCAACGCCGGAGACCGGCGTTAACCCGCCGGTCAACGCTGGAATCCGGCGGAAAAAAAAAAGTTTTTGAAAAAAATAATTTTTTGAAAAAAAAAAAGTTTTGGGTAAAATATGAATAATTTGTGAAATTTTGGGTTAAATTGAGATTAAACCAAGTTAATGATGAAATTGGAGCATATTAAAGTATGAGGAGCTATTTTAGTCTTTAACAAAAATCTGGACCATGCGTGGACTTATTGATAAATGAGTTTTTGGTTTGAATCTCTTTATGAATAAGTACCAATTGATGAACTTATTTGTAATATGTCTTTCAATTATTGGGTCATGACGTAGAGGTCCCTATCACAGGGATTTAATTCAAATTGATTGATTCAATTATTTTCTTTTGCAACTAAACTCACCCCTGCAACATAAATTATTGACAAAGGCAACATCTTATTTTTTTAATGCGTTGACTAGTCATCAAAGTAACATTAATATATTTGATTAAGTTTTGTTGTTATATATGTTGACTGGTTATCAGAGTAATGTCGTTGTTTTGACCAATATTTGTTAGAATGGTAGATTAAAAGTCTTACTTTTATCTATGTAAACAAACTCATTAATAATATTTATTAATTTTAGTAAAAAGATAATAACTTGTATAGTTATTGTTTTACTTTATTGTGCCAGCACACTATATATATATTGAATCGAACAAAGTGAAATAATTGTTGCATTACTATTTTATACAAATCTATATTATTTCTAGTTCATAACATATATATTACCTACTCTCTTATCCCTTAGATAATTAATGTCCATATTTAATTGACGATCTCTACTTTGATGTCATGATGGGAGAGATTCCTATATTGAGTCAAGTTAGGCCCGTTGAGTTTGGTAGAAACATTAAGAATTAATATTTAGAAATTAATTATCGAAAGGAATTTGCATATCTGAAATATGAGATTGTTATATAACTATTGAGTAGCTTATAATTTTATTATGTCTAAAACTTAGCCAAGTTGATGTATATATCCGACATACTGGAATAAGTTAAGCTGGTAGAACTCAAGAAAATATAATAAATTATTTGGTGATTATTGAATTATCTTAATGCAATGAGCGACTAAGTAATGATAAACCGCATCTAAAATGTATTAGTTGAGAATATAAACGGGAGTTCACTAATTATTAGCTAGTGAAAAATAAATAATTATTTAATAATTAAATAAATGATTTCTCTTTAGAATTTGAATTCTAATGATTATTATTAGCCGAGATCATATTAATTTTCCTCCTCATTCTTATATTGCAACCTAATTGGATTTTCTAATTAATTAACAAAGGTTGAATTATACCAAGCAGATAGGATAAAGGAGAGTTGAGAATTTAGGGACGCTACCCTAATAACCACAAGGGGTTATGGATTAATAGTACGAGTACAAGGGGTTCATCTGAAAAAAAAAGTTTGTAAATAGGGTTGAAGTGTTATTTATCCTTAATTAAACTATGATTACCTGGAGGTGGTGGAAATGGCAGTAGTGGTGGTGGTGGTGGCGGCGGCGGAGATGACACCAAAGGCGGCGCTAACGGCGGGGTCAGTGGTTCTTCAAGCCTTGTGTCATTGTAAAATTGTGAAGGCTCGTAGCGATAAAGGCAGCTGGGAGTATAGAGTCTGATCCCTATGGTATCATTAACAAGTGCCGAAATATATTGGGTAGCCTGGACCAAGCATCTACTGCAATTCACGGGCGATAAATCCGGAGTACACTGCAACAATGCGAATATTTCCTGATCATCAGGCCCCGTCCTATTCCCCACCGCAGCCTTACGCAACGGGCCGCCGTTTGCCGCCCGGGCCCGAACATCGTCCATCAGCTCTTCCCGGACAACCTTAAAACTGCCCGGGCTCGTCATATTGTTTCGATTATAAGAATATGTTCCCGGAGAAATTGCCAGCCTTCCGGTTATGTTATCGTTCGAGTATCGGACCATACAGAATTCGTACCACATAACCGCCTGGTATTGATTCGGACATATACCTAGGATCTCCTTGGCCACTATATTGACGCAACCTTGACAGGTGTTGTGCTGAATATCGGCTCTGCATAGCGCAATGGCGTTCGCTTGACCGACGGAGGCACTGTAGAAACCTGTGTTGTCTATGTTTGAGGAGAGAGAATTGAGTAAGCTGTTAAGATCAGCCCTGTATAGGCTTTCTTTTGTGTAGTTCCCATTTTGTGAACAAAAAAAAGCCTCATATTGGGAGATTGCCAAGGAGAAAAGGTTTGTGATAATTAATAGAGAGATCATCCATCTCTTAGTACAAGTACTCATAACTGCAGCTCCGGCGGCGGCGGCGTACAGACGTTATATGTTGCCTCCAAGACAATCACTATATATATAGAGACGGCTTTGTACAACCTACATCTGGTGAAATACACGATGTGTTTTTAAACCGTAAATTTACACATAATATCACACATGTGTATGTGTGCGAAGTGGATAGTTATTTATATCGATTACGGTTTAAAAACACATGGTGTATTTCATCATGTTTAGGATATCAAAAGCCATATATAGACTTGGATTAAATATATGGAACTATTGGTGAGAACCCTCTATCTTTTTTTTTTTTTTTTAAAATAAGGACGAGTCCAACTTATTTTCACTTATTAGTGGTACACTCACTTCCTCCTATATCCCAAATATACCCTTTAATAAGGATATACCTTTTTTTTTTTTAATAAGGATGAGTCCAACTTATTTTCACTTATTAGTGGTAGACTCACTCCACATTATCCAACACTTCAATTATTTTCATATATAATTTAAATAAATTTATTTTTTTGTTTTTCTTATTATTTTATTTAAAAACTAACAATAATAACTTTAAAAATATATTTTTTCTTTTATTTATTTATTTAATTTTCTTTTTTAATTTCAGTTTTTTTTTCGGAATCAACTATAAAGATTCCGAAATCGACTATAATTTCGATTTGCTTTATTTCATTTTTCTTAATTTTACTTTCCAGTTTTTTTTTTTTTTTTTTTGACTTTTTTCTAGAAACAACCATCTTTTTGTCATTTTTTTAATGAAAAAATAAGATAAATTGTAAAACAATTATTAGAAAACAACTATTGTTTTTCAACTGTTCGTTTTTTTCGCCATAATCGACTATTAGAAAACTCTAAGACAACTATATTAAAAATAGTGGTTTACAAATAGCAAAGTTACAAAAAATAAAAACAACAACTTAACGAATTCAACTATAAAAAAAATTGAAATCAACTATAAATTGTAAAAAATCAACATAAAATATCGAAAATAACTATAAAACTATCGAAAACTACTGTAAAATTATCGAAATGAGATCAATCTTCGCGAAATGAGATGTTTTCAATTTTTTTTAACATATTAGATCCGCCCAGATCTACTCATATGAAATTATCCATACATTAATTGATTTGTTGAGAATTCGTCCAAATTGGATCCTGAAAATCTGAGATGTAAATTATTTTACAGTCCATGTTCCACCTTGAAGGTTGCAAATCTACTCTGAGCGGCGGTGTGCGCGGATGTGGTGGGAACAAATGGCGGTGGCGGTGGCGGTGGCATCAGAGTCAGCAGTTAGGATTTTAGGTGGAAAAAATTAATTATATATTACTGATAGAAGGGTAAATTAATTAGAGAGTTTACATCAAACTTTAATAAATATTTATTTAATTAGTAATTATTTGAGGGGGTCTCACTAATATTGAAACTGAGGTTATATCTTATATATAAAAGAAAGAAACGCTAATGTCATATTTGTAAATTTTTTTTTATTATTTTTGATTTTTATCAAATTTATCTCCTAAATATTATCCTAAATATTTTCGAATTTTATCAGATTTAAATCTCTTAATTATTATTACGGATTTTTATCTCCGAAATATTATATTAAATATTATTTTCAATTTTTATCAATTTCTTATCTCCCAAATATTATTTTAATTATTATTTTTGAATTTTAACAAATTTATATCTCCTAAATATAATTTTAAATATTTCCAAAGATGGACGATTCCCAAAGACTTCCCTTAACACTCTCAAAGTTTTCAACTTCTCTCTTCCACTTCGACACGTTTGTGTTTTCTGTTCTTATTTATATCCCATCTCTGCAGCATTTGAATTTTATTTCTTCATCCTACCTAAGGTTTCTTCTTTTGGTAACCCGACTTTAGAATTTTCGTCTTATTTTATTTTTCATCCTATTGACTGTGTGATAATTAGTTTGCATCTTTTTCCATCATGGCTTATAGGGAATTTCATTTTGCTAAATTATGTGTTTCATTAATTTATACCAAAGATTTCAAATTTTGTGTACAACAATTATTTCCTTTTAGATGTTATTAGACATGTTATTGAAAGGGGTGATTGGAGAGAACTAAGTAAAAATGGGCGGAGCCACAAACTATTGGAAGTCGGCCTTCAAGACATATTGTTTGTATGCGATATTTAATTTATTGTTTATATTTATTTTTGTTTCTTAATTTTCCAATTGTTAATTCCAGTGGTAAAACAAGACCAAAACGAGGTAGTGGAGAAGGGCTTAATTATGATGCAAGATGTATATGGCATTTTATGTTGGTATGTCGATAGTTTAGTTTTGATTAGGTTAATAAATCAAATTATTTTTAATGTATATAGACTTAATGTATTCTAACAGATTTGAGATTGCTGAAATTCTACAATTAATTAATAAATTTAATATTTTATTAAAATATTTATATATTTTTAATAACATATAAAGTAAAGCTAAATCAAGAAAAAAAGGTTGGTTTTTGAATTTGCAACGATTATATTTTGTTGCCAAATCTCTTGGAGCATTTACAACAAAAGATTTTGTCGTCTTTCGTCACTTATTGGTGACAAAATAAATTTGTTGCCGTTGTAAATGTATTTACTACAATTGTATTCCGTAGCAAAAAGAAATACTCTTTTGCAACAAACAAAGTTGTTGTCTTTCAGGTAATTCGTTGCAAAACTATTCACAACAATATATTTCGTTGCCTATGAGATTCAAAGGCAACAAAAATATCTTGTTTCAAAAACGTTAATCTTTGGCCACAAATACTATATTTCGTTGCTAAAATATAACTATTGGCAACAAAATTAATTTCGTTAATAAAAAAATCGTTACCTATTTTACATTTTCTTGTTGTGATAGTTGATGATTTTGTTCTCGGTTCAGTTCATTTGAAAAAATATTCAACAGTAAAGTGTTTTTTGTTTTTTTTTTTAGTATAGTTAGTAATGTTCCACTGATGAATTATTAAAGAATGATTATAATAGAATTTTGATCATACGGTACATCAAACGTTTGTTTATATTCTTACATCAAAACAATGTACAATTACTAGTTCATCTTAATATAAGTAAATAAGTTGGGGTTTTCACTAATTATCCAGCGTTGACTTTTTTGATTTTTTTTCCTTCTTTAACATCTTTTTGCTCTCCACCCCCGTTTAAACAACAATATTGTTGTGGTTGACAATAATATTAACTATATCTGTTAAACACAGTAAAATAAACTATACTACAGTTTAAAACATTAATATTATTGTGTTTACAATAGTATTATTACGTTACTCCGTCAACAACTCAAACAAAACAAAAAACCCAAAAAAATAATAATTTTGATGTGCTTGACAGTAATATTATTGTGTTTACAGTTACTTTACTGTCAACGACACTAATATAATTACGTTGACTTGTCAAAAAATCGAACAAATGTTTAAAAACAACCCAAAAAAATAATAATATTGTCGTTGACTCTAATTGTACTGTCAACGATAGTACAGTTACATAATTGTATTGTCAACTATACAATACAATTACGTTAATGTACAGTCAACAACAATATAATTACGTTAATTTACTGTCAGTGACATTACAATTACGATCAACGTTTAGCAGCGGGCGTAAAAAGACGAATTAAAAAAATCGAAAAAGTCAACGCCGGAAACAGACGGCAGAAAAAAAAAATCTAAATGTCAACGCCGGAAACCGGAGGCAGAAAAATAATTTCAGGAAAAAAAATGTTTTATTTATAAAAAAAATGGTCAAAATTGGATTATTGTGGTCAAATTTAATTAAATTGGGTTTACAATTAAGAATTGGGTGTAAATGATTGGGGTAATTTTGTCATATACATTATTTTTTCCTTTATTTATAATACATATTAAAGGGATTAGCTTACTGGAGAAAGAGATATAGCCCCTGAACCTAGAATAATAAAGATGATCGATCAGGGACTTATACACAAAAACCTTAAATATTAAGTATTAATTAATGTTTTAATTTTCTGAAAACTATGTTTTTAGTACATAAACAATCAATCCACAAATTAAAAGACTTAATATACTTAACTATAAAATGATAAGAAATGAAAATTCAATTTTGAATTCTTATAAAAAAAAGAAAGTCAAGTTTTTAAAACTAGCAACTATTACAAATAAACTCATCACGTGCTACTTATTCATAAGGGCATGATTATCAAATCATAAATCGAATTGAAAATTGTTTTGTCAAAAATGCAAATCGTAAATCGAAACGAATCGTAAATCGTAAGATTTTTTAAATTTTATTAAAATATTAATATATTAAATATATATATATATATATATATATATATATATATATATATATATATATATATATATATATTGTAACACCCCACATTTTCGAAACCCTAATCCCTAACCAAAATTCCATAACCCGGAAATTCTCACATAGGAATTTTTAGGAATTTATTCACCTTATTAAATTAATTTCTCTAAGTGCCTTATTTGCTTAGACCACTAATCCTTATATGCCGGTTTGATTATATGACTAGGAATTTATGGAATAATTATGTGCCAACTTTATCTCGATAATTATGTGCTTAAGTAGATTAATTATTGGTAATTATGTGTTAGATTAATTTATGTGACTTATGTGTATAATTAGTTTAATTATATGATTTCATGATTTAATCATAATTACATGCATAATACATGCATATATATACGTACATGTATGCATACATATATGCATATGCTATAACCTACTCTAGACTATAGGCAATATAGGTACATGTATATGTATATGTGTGTGTTCGGTTTTATGTGTATGAGAGAGATTAATAATTTTATTAATTAAGTAATAAAATTAGAAAAAGATGCATGCTTGTCCACATGTCAAAGTGTGATGATTTACACTAATCCAACACTCAATGTGGATTAGTAATGTGAAGAGACACTCTTCCTTCTTCTTTTCCTTACACCTACACCTACACTTGTCTTCTCTTCACCATCACCACCGAAGCACCACCATCTTCATCGGCCAACACCTCAAAATTCTTCAAGAAAGAAATAGAGAAATCAAAATGCAAATCCCCTATATAAGCTTCACCCTTGAATATGCCAAGAACACCATCAAAAACACTTGCCCTCTTACGGGAGAATTAAACTCCTCCCAACTTGATATCAAAGCTCTTACCTTCTCCATTCAAATAGCTTGGTTCAATCTTGG